TCCTGTGTAGGAATCCTGGTCTGTTCCAAAGTAATATCACTTGACTGAGCCGATATAAATTCTTTCTGTGTTTCACTTAAACCTGGAACAGTCTCCGGTAGGAAAGAATCCTCAGCTCCTTCCTCAGCTGGCAAGCTGCCATTCTCAACAAACAATAGCTCAGGGGAATTCCCCCCCACCTCCGGCGCACCTCCCTGACAGCAGGCAAAGTAGAGGAATCAGATCCATGCTAGTTATAACATTAACCTGATTGGACATAGTTACAATGTCATTACCTATCAAAATATCAGCAGGTAGCAATTCCTAATACCAACCACAATATCATCCTTAACATTTTCCCACTCCGGTGGATTTTAGCCAGAGGCACAGTCATTGAAAACTCAGCCAAAGCTAGAAGATTTATACTTCTGCCAGGCAATTTATCTTTTATCACAAAACTTTCTTTAACCAAAGTAACATGAGATGCAGTATCACGCCACCCAGTACATTCAACCCCATTTACTTTTACACGCTTAATGAACTGTTCACTATCATCCCACGACTCAGTTCTAATATAATTTATGAGGCCATTTTCCTCTCCCACAATTTCCTCTGTGGCTAATGTGGTAGCATTAGCACTTACATTGGTAGCAGTGGAACCCATGAAAGGGGTTGCGGGTGCAGGTTGTGAGGTGGTTTTAAGCCTTGAGCAATTTGACTTTATATGGCTAGGGATCCCACCTTCATGGCAAACAATTGGCTTCCCCGTAAGGTAAGAGGTTTTAAAATCTGGGCTCCCTGGAGATTTTTTAACACAGTTGGGGTTAGGTTTATTCTTAAATCCTTCCTCCCTTGTAAACTGGAGATTGCACCCCTTTCGAGCCCTTGACTCAACATACTCATCCACAATTTCTGCTGCCATCAAAACCGTGGAAGGTTTTTTTGTCACAAATGGCTGCTTTGACATCATTGGTGACCACCCATAATAACTGCTATTGCATCACCAAATGTAACAGCTTATCAAAGCTGCCATCAGCACCCGCCCCTATTTTTTTACATAACAACGCAGTTTATGCACATATTCCACATGAGTTATATTGTCAGACTTTTTAAGATTTCTCAACTTTAAGCAATAAGACTCAGGGGTGATTTTAAACCTTTTCAATACAGCATGCTGTGTCATGGGGTCAAGCAATTCCCTGGCGTATGTGCTTTGCCATCAGTTCTTCAGATGAACTGCAAATTTTTGCTTGCAACTTCTGCGTATGTGCCGTTTGAGGTGTCTTCGGGAATGACATGCAGTGGCTCTTGTTTACAGTTCCTTTGTTACTCATGAAGAGCTAACCTATGGGTGTTTCTCAGACTCACAGCATGTTTAAGTTACAAACATATACAAAATTTCATAACTCCGCACACGTTGATTCACACATTATAACAATATAATAATACTCAGCAGATTATAACTAGACATACTTTGTACAAGATTTATCACAATTTTGTGAAAGTGGTGACCATATTATTTAGGCGGTCACCTTCCCCTTTAGAACATCACAGCTGCGTGTGAGTCTTCTTGCTCTCAGTGAGGGAGCACCTTTTTTCCTGACACTTCCGTCAAAAATGACTGAATCATTTGCAAGTAAAGAAGGAATGAAAAAAAAAAGACCGTTTCTCTGATAAGAGAAAAATTTTGTGACTTTTTAAAAACACCTCTAGCGCCTCAGCAGAAGGTGATAGAAACTTGGGATTTGGCAGGGATGTAGTCATAGATGTGCCTTTAATTGTTCCATGAAAAACTGAATTTGATTCAGATGAATTATAAGAATTTTTAAAAAAACATACTTCATGCATGTACACTGGATCATGTTAAACAGTAAAAAATAATTCTCTCCCCAAATTCCACGTGCACTGGCCCTGTATGTCCATTTTCACTAAGTGGGTGATATATCCAGATTCCAGTGAATGTACACATTCTGCATAACAAAATGGAATGGAATTTCAGTTTTCTTACATAGAAAATTGCATAATGTGACCTGTGAATGTATGTAGTTTTTGTGTCAGGCCCTAAGTGCTTTGGATTTATTGTGGTTTGTTTTTATTGACAAACTCTTTCATAAGATTCTTAATCACCCTTATTTTCTTTGTTCAAACTGAGGAAACCACTTTGATAATGCTTTCCTGGACTACTGCCTGTTCCAATCTTATCTTCAGTAGTATATTTATTTGATGAGTGTGGCACTAGGTGATATTTAAGAAGTTTATTCATAGCTGTCAAGCATTAAACACACAGTAAATTTGATGACAAATGCTACTGGCAGAAAGTAGATCTAAAGTCAAAGCAAAGTGCCAACTTTTGAGCATAACAAAGGGAAGAAGGAGGATCTGGGGAACTACAGGCCAGTCAGCCTCACCTCAGTCCCTGGAAAAATCATGGAGCAGGTCCTCAAGGAATCAATTATGAAACACTTAGAGGAGAGGAAAGTAATCAGGAACAGTCAGCATGGATTCACCAAGGGGAAGTCGTGCCTGACTAACCTAATTGCCTTCTATGATGAGATAACTGGCTCTGTGGATGAGGGGAAAGCAGTGGATGTGTTATTCCTTGACTTTAGCAAAGCTTTTGATACAGTCTTCCACAGTATTCTTGCCGCCAAGTTAAAGAAGTATGGGCTGGATGAATGGACTGTAAGGTGGCTAGAAAGCTGGCTAGATCGTCGGGCTCAACGGGTAGTGATCAATGGCTCCATGTCTAGTTGGCAGCCGGTTTCAAGCGGAGTGCCCTAAGGGTCGGTCCTGGGGCCGGTTTTGTTTAATAACTTTATTAATGACCTGGAGGATGGTGTGGACTGCACTCTCAGCAAGTTTGCAGATGACACTAAACTGGGAGGCGTGGTAGATACACTGGAGGGTAGGGATCGGATACAGAGGGACCTAGACAAATTAGAGGATTGGCCCAAAAAAAACCTGATGAGGTTCAACAAGGACAAGTGCAGAGTCCTGCACTTAGGACGGAAGAATCCTATGCACTGCTACAGACTAGGGACCGAATAGCTAGGTAGCAGTTCTGCAGAAAAGGACCTAGGGGTCACAGTGGACGAGAAGCTGGATATGAGTCAACAGTGTGCTCTTGTTGCCAAGAAGGCTAACGGCATTTTGGGCTGTATAAGTAGGGGCATTGCCAGCAGATCGAGGAACGTGATCGTTCCCCTTTATTCAACATTGGTGAGGCCTCATCTGGAGTACTGTGTCCAGTTTTGGGCCCCACACTACAAGAAGGATGTGGAAAAATTGGAAAGAGTCCAGCGGAGGGCAACAAAAATGATTAGGGGTCTGGAGCACATGACTTATGAGGAGAGGCTGAGGGAACTGGGATTGTTTAGTCTCCAGAAGAGAAGAATGAGGGGGAATTTGATAGCTGCTTTCAACTACCTGAAGGGGGGGTTCCAAAGAGGATGGAGCTCGGCTGTTCTCAGTGGTGGCAGATAACAGAACAAGGAGCAATGGTCTCAAGTTGCAGTGGGGGAGGTCTAGGTTGGATATTAGGAAACACTATTTCACTAGGAGGGTGGTGAAGCACTGGAATGCGTTACCTAGGGAGGTGGTGGAATCTCCTTCCTTGGAGGTTTTTAAGGCCCGGCTTGACAAAGCCCTGGCTGGGATAATTTAGTTGGGAATTGGTCCTGCTTTGAGCAGGGGGTTGAACTAGATGACCTCCTGAGGTCCCTTCCAACCCTGATATTCTATGATTCTATGATTCATAACTTCTCTAAACAGTTTATTGTTCTTAGGTGAAGAAACAAGTAATGTTGGTAATTCTTGCTGGATAGGCTTTTGAAGTCCAGCGCTAACAGTAGAGATAGCTCCTGATCACTAATTGCTTTCGAATTTTTCCAATTTCTACCTAGATTTTTTTGCCTGTTCGAACTCCCCAGACCCAGTTCCCCACTTGCAGACTCCCTGCCGGTCGGCACTGTGCAGGAGAGGGTAACTGCACTTGATGGCTGCTGCAGCTGTGGAGTGGTGGAATGAGATGGGCAGGGAGCCTGCCAAGACCATGGACTGCTGCAGCGACAGGACACTGGGAATGAGGTTGCATCTAGGAGTACTGGCCCCTCCTGACCCACTCCCACTGTGTGTGCCAGGCACCCCTTCTTCTCCCCAGGCCCATCCCTCCCTGATTGCTGAACACCTCCTCACTCGCTCTTCTCTGTGAGAAGGGGTGCTCCCTCCTCCCCTTCCCCCATTCATTACTGAGTGCTGGGCATCCCCTCCCTACTGTCTGAAAAAGATACTTTGAAAAAAACACTGAGAGCCTACGCCACCCAGGACTTTTGGAATTCACACTGAAGCCCCTTACAGAGCTGTAGGGTTTAAGGCCAGAAAGGATCACCCCAGTTCAACTAGTCTGATCTCCTGTATATCACAGGCCACCAGCACCTGCACCCAGCACAATCAACCCAACAACCACAACTAGACCAACATATTACAGCCCCAGGAGACTAGACAGTTGCATTCAGCTGACAGAGGATAGGAAGGACAGAGGTGCGCCGGTGCTTAAGGCCCCACAATGGCAGGGAAATGGTTAAGTGAGTTATATTACATGTAACTGCACAAGTCACCAGTTGTAAACTGTTTATTTTTAGAAAGAAGTTTAATTTTTGGAATGGAGATTAGAGATAATGTCTAACTCCTAATTGTCTTTATTTGTTGCTTTTTTCCTGTCCTCCCAGCCCCAAATATTAATACTGATATTTATCCAGAAAACAGCAAAGCTAATTTTTGGCACTGGTTTCCACCTGTTTTTAAATTGTTGAGATAAACACTGATTAATTCCTGGGAAAGTAAGCAAACAAACAAACAGAAACGAAAGGCCTTATTTATAGGACCTGAAACTTCAACCAGGACCCATGTGGCTTTCAAAGTGGTATTTTTCTTAGGTAAGTCAAAGACTCATGTTCATTTACTTCCCTTTCACACATTATTTATCTCTAAGTGCTCTGAACTTGACTGTGTTAGCTCCTTACCTGTGTTATAAACTGGAATCCACTGGTAGAATTCATTCTTGTAGGGAACTGTGTCAAATTCACTGCATTGCATCTGACGAAAGGTTGGTGTGTCTCGTCGACATGGGAGAATGTTACACATGCGGTAGCGTTTCCTTTCTCCAGTGCAATACTTTCCTCCAAACTGTGGCCTAGAAGTAAAGTATGAAGTTTTGGGGCTTTAGAGTCTGTATGAAAGTTAGGTGTGTTTTATTTTAAATTAGTACATTCATAACAAGGTGCTGAACACTGAAGTCAATGGGGACTTGACTTCTCAGTCACTTAGGGCAAGTCTACACTTGAAATGCTGCATCAGCACAGCTGCACCAATGCAGGTATGCTGCTGTAGCATGATAATGAATCTGCTCTATGCCAACGGGAGAACTCTCTTCCATCGGAGTAGTTAATTCACCTTCGAAGAGGCAGTAGTTTTCCCGCTGACATAGCGCTATCTACCGGGGGGCGGGGGGAGTTGGTCAATATAACTATATCACTCGGGGTGTGGATTTTTCACACCCCAGAGTGACATAGTTATACCAATATATGTCTGCAGTGTAGACCAGACCTTAGGCACTTTGGAAAATGTGACACATAGTGTTATTTGTTTAAGACAGTAACATATAGATAGTTCATCATGAGCTCAACCATGTCAGGAGCTGATCACTCCTTGGAGTTAGGCGCCTACCTACCTTGGAGGATCTGGGCCCTAAGTGTTTCCGTCCTTTTTGAAAATGAGACACAGGCGTTTTTAAAAAAAAATTGCCCTATACATACCTATTTTACTAGATTCTTAGAATCCATCACCAGGATCTCTGAGACTTCAAATGAAGCTGGTTTAGGATCAAATGTGACTTGTAAGTACTCATCAGCTCTCAGGAATAGGCCACTAATCTTTACCCTCACATAGTTATTGAGGATATTGCAAATTATCCAAAGTAGTATCATTAAAACAATGTTTCTGATGTTTGTATTAATCCTGCAGGTGAAGATTTTCGTCTCTCTTGGGTGGAAGTAATTTCCATGGAAGGTAAGAAAGACTGAGAAGCAACATGAAAATTGTAAAAGGCAAAGCTGGTGAATTCTAGACAGGGGTGTTTCTATGGGGAGAAGTGGATTCAATGGTTGTCTTGCTGCAGTAGCTGTTAATAATATGGTGAGAAACAAAAGTGTCCCTATCCTCACAAATACCCATCAGACCTCTCAAACACCTTGCATTACATACAAAAAGCATTGAAAGGGTTGGTGATGAACTGTGCACACAACTTACTCTGGGTTATTGCAGGGTCTTTCTGCGCTTTGAACTCCTGCCCCACATGTCCGTGTGCAATGGGACCAGGAGGACCATGTGCCCCATCCACCATTTATCATTTCTGGATTCTCTCCCACTGTAATGCACTCCGCGTTGAAGCACCACTGAATAATAAAGAAAAAGCAAATACAGAGGATCAGAAAATTATCAATGCAAAAAAAAAATGCAGACTGATGAACGCTTAAATTAAAACCTAGTCAGCTGTGCGTGCTGAAAACCATTTAATCAGCTTTGTTGATCTAAAGATGACCTAGAACAGTGGTTCTCAACCAGGGGTACACGTACCCCTGAGGGTACGTAGAGGTCTTCCAGGGGGTACATCAACGCATCTAGATATTTGCCTAGTTTTACAACAAGCTACATAAAAAACACTAGTGAAGTCAGTACAAACTAAAATTTCATACAGACAATGACTTGTTTATACTTCTCTATATACTATGCACTGAAATGTATGTGTAATATTTATATTCCAATATAAATTTATTTTATAATTATATGATAAAACCAGAAAGTAAGCAATTTTTCAGTAATAGTGTGCTGTGACTATTCGTTTCCAAATCCCTACTTTTGAAGAAAACCATCTCTCCTGTGGTCCTTTTGTATTTTTATGTCTGATTTTGTAAGCAGGTCATTTTTAAGTGAGGTGAAACTTGGGGTATGCAAGACAAATCAGACTCCTGAAAGGGGTACAATAGTCTGGAAAGGTTGAGAACCACTGACTTAGAAGAGGTAAAATCCCCTCATCCTGTCATAGACTACATCAAGCAACATTTCCTCAGCAAAATTCTATTGACAACTGTTGGTCATGACTAAACGATTTGGCGGTTCCTTCAGACCTTAAACTCTATGACTCTCAATGTCATTCATATTTTGTATATATCTATTGCTAGAAACGTAGGCATCTTCCATCTGTATTCTATTGGAGATGGAATGGAAAAGTCCTTCAGTTAGAGACCTATGGTGATAGGTCACTGAAAGGAAGTGTGTGATGAGATGAGATGGGTTCAAATTCAGAGGAGACATAAATGGTGGTGTAAGTTACAAATGGTGCACATAAATGTAACATGGCACAGCTAACCAACAGAAGGTGCTGTAGTAGGAAAAGAAACCAAAAGAGAATGTACAAAGTGTAAAATAAAGCAGTTCGTCTCTTCCCACACACAAGGTCAAATTCTGATCTAAATTACACTAGTATAAATCCAGAGTAATCTCACTTAAGTTCTGCTTCATCCACTGTACATCCTGCATATAAATAACTGTCATGGGTTTTGGCATACACAGAATAATAAGTAGTAGAACCTATTTATCTAAAGGCTTAGAAAAACGTGTACAATACTATACCATATTATTTAAGAAATAGTAAATGATCATGTATTTAAAGACTGTGGTTCAGATTTTCATCAGATGTAAGTCAGCATAGTTCCACTGACTTTAACAGCCCTAAGCCAGTTTACACTAGCTGAAGATCTAATCCACTGTATCACAATCCGTAAGCACGAGAGCAGACAGCTCAACTGTGCAAAATTAATATAGTCAACAGTTTTTTATGGACAGAAATGATCTTATACAGGTATTGTTAGTCCGAGTGTCAGAATCATATAAATAGAGCAGTACTTAACAATTACCCTTTGCAGGTAAAACTAAGTTTTTAATATTTACCATATGTATATTCCCCCAAAAGTATTTTACAAACTTAAACTAATATATAGATTATCCTAGGATAATTTAACCACCTCTGAGGTGACATGGAAGAAGAGTACCATATCCAAATGAAATCTCAGGGGGAAATCAAGGGGCACAGGGCAATTACCTGAGCTGGAATTTGGCCATAACACTGTGCTTAACACAATTTTTCTTACAAAAAATGCCATGTTAACTTTAATGACCTCAGTCGTGGCTTTTCTATTCTATTAGGTTCCCATAATTTGCTCATCACTGTATTAGTTGAGCCCCTTCCAGTAGAGCATAAGCAATGTGACTGACATCTATCACATGTTCACTCTTTTGCCCAGCGTTTGCAGGCCATCTCTGCCAGGCTTCAGGAGTGCAGAGGAGCCACTGCAGTGCTAGGGTCCAGGTGGTTGGAACCACCAAACTCCCATATACCCACTCCAGGGTGGGAGGATGAGGAGGAAAAATTACAAGTCACTGCTGTGCAAAAAGGAATCAAAACTAACGTTATATAACAAAATGGTCGGGAGAAATTGAGCTGCTGCCTTCTTTCACTGCTGGAGGCAGAAAATCTGGTGGTCTGAACTGAAGAGCGGGGCTTAATCCTGGAGCCTCCAGCAACAACTTTGGAGCTCCTCCGAATTCCACAGGTGGGAGGTATTGCCCATTAGTGGTGACTGAGGAGATATTCTGTGCAACAGAATTGACTTGAAATGAAGCAAACATGATTTCTGCTCAATTAAATTATAGCCAATATACAGCTCCTGTAGTTGCTTTATATAAGTAATTAAACAATAGGAAGTACTGTCACTGTATCTTTCAATCCCCTTCTCTCTCTGTGAAGATGTTTAGCTAGTTCAGATTCAGTATTTATTCTGATAGCCTTAGTTTCTATTCTACACACCACTAAACTTAGTTGACAACTTGTTCCACGTGTTTACTATACTTTGATTTAAATAATCCAATGAGTTCTTTACGGATCTGAAAGATTTCCCCTGGTGTCCACCATAGAAAGACCACCCCCATCACAATAAACAATATTCTCCTCCCCTCTCCTCAGCAGTGTTTCCCATCCATTTAGACTAGATCCTCAGCCTTCCCATTGAAAGTATCTGCATGAACCCACTATTCCCCCAACCTTTCCTTCTTTTCCCTAGGTCGTTTCCAAATCCCTACTTTTGAAGAAAACCATCTCTCCTGTGGTCACCTGCTCCAATCCACTACTAGTCCAACAATCATTAGCCCTGCACTGATTCATGCTGTTATGCTACCCTGACTTAGAGGCATCCTAGAGTGAATTTTGCCACTGGCAATCACCATGCAGCACCAAGGAGCTGAGTCAGCATTTGGTTATTTTTCCCTGCCAATGGAGGATTTTGCCCTACAGGGTATTCAGTGGTGCTTTGAAATGTAAACATCCCACCACACTGTTCACCACTTCCTCTGAGAAACTAATCCTCAGCTAAATAACTGAACATCATCTCACTGGTCAGGAAAACTTTCCCTTTCTTTCATTTCATTCCACTTCTCTTAGTTTAAATTGCAGTTTCATTCTATGAGTCCGAACGTTGAACCTCTGAACAAAGGTTTCCTGTTGAACCCATACTGTGAGCTAGACTGTGGTGCCTTGGTGGGGTCCTGCTGCATCAAAACCGTTGACCTGCCTGAACAATAACACCAGCTGGCTCAAAACTGAATATCTTTCATGGAATGTGTTATGAGCAGGGGGACTGTAAACTTTCAGGGCTTGTCTACACATGAAAGTTATTCCAGAATAAGGTAGGTTGCAAATGTAAAGTGGAATAACTATTTGGGAATAACTGTGTAGACAACCCCTTATGGGCAGTTTGAAGGGGCTGCAGAGGGAATGACCCACTTTGCCACAGAACCACAGCGCACTGACTTGTTCAGGTAATGAGACTTTAGTCATGGAGAGGAAATGGATTTATCTCATGAAATCCCGATTAAGGACATAATCCTGAGAGGATCGGAGCACTCATGACTCCCACTGAAGTGCTTGTCATGTTTTAGGATTGAACTCCCAAACCATTTAATAGCTATGCATTTCAAATCTTCCTTTACAAGACAGCTAGCGCAATAATTACACTAGGGAAATTTCACCGGTATGGAGTCTGAGGGTGGTGCTTCGGGCTCCAGCAATGCGACAAATTCAGAACAAGACTCAGGGGCCTGACTCCCTTAGTGAGCAGAGGCTGTGGACGGCTTTAAGAAGTACTGAGGTTATACCTTACAGTCCCTGTGAACTAGGAAGTTGAGCTCCTGCTGGCTAGCAATAGGCATGGATTGAAAAGAAAGCTATTAGTCCTCTCAGTTGGAAGAAAAACAGTAAAGTAATGATAATAAAAGCAAGCGGGAAAAGGTCAGGGTTTAAGATTAATAACAGAGAAAAATGTTACTATGAGTGAACTCCATTAAGCAATAGAAAATATGAAAAGCTGGAGGCTGAAAAACTCAGCAAAACAAAGATATGAGACATCTCTCAGGATGCCACTTAGTTTAATCTGGAACAAATGACAAAACCTGTTATGTCACAATTAGGGCTGTAAAGCGATTAATTTAAATATTTTTGGATGTTTTCTACATTTTCAAATATATTGATTTAAATTACAACACAGAATACAAAGTGTACAGTGCTCACTTTATATTTATTTTTATTACAAATATTTACACTGTAAAAAACAAAAGAAATAGTATATTTCAATTCACCTAATACAAGTACTGTAGTGCAATCTCTTTGTAATGAAAGTTGAACTTACAAATGTAGAATTATGTACAAAAAATAACTGCATTCAAAAATAAAACAACGTAAAACTTTAGAATCTACAAGTCCATTCAGTCCCACTTCAGCCAAATCGCTCAGATAAACAAGTTTGGTTACAATTTGCAGGAGATAATGCTGCTCACGTCTTGTTTACAATGTCACCTGAAAGTGAGAACAGGCGTTCACATGGCACTGTTGTAGCCGGCATCACCAGATATTTACATGCCAGATGCGCAAAAGATTCATATGTCCCTTCATGCTTCAACCACCATTCCAGAATATATGCATCCATGCTGATGACGGGTTCTGCTCAATAATGATCCAAAGCAGAGTGGACCAACACATGTTCATTTTCATCATCTGAGTCAGATGCCACCAGCAGAAGAAGGTTGATTTTCTTTTTTGGTGGTTTGGGTTCTGTAGTTTCGGCATCGGAGTGTTGCTCTTTTAAGACATCTGAAAGCATTCTCTACACCTCGTGCCTCTCAGTTTTTGGAAGGCACTTCAGCTTCTTAAACCTTGGGTCAAGTGCTGTAGCTATACTTAGAAATCTCACATTGATACCTTCTTTGTGTTTTGTCAAATCTGTTGTGAAAGTGTTCTTAAAACGAACATATGCTGGGTCACCATCCACGACTGCTATAACATGAAATATATGGCAGAATGCGGGTAAAACAGGAGACATACAATTCTCCCCCAAGGAGTTCAGTCACAAATTTAATTAACATATTATTTTTTTAATGAGCATCATCAGCATGGAAGCATGTCTTCTGGCATGGTGGTCAAAGCATGAAGGAGCATATGAACGTTTAGCATATCTGGCACGTAAATACCTTGCAATGCCGGCTACAAAAGTGCCATGCGTGAACGCCTGTTCTTCCTTTCAGGTGACATTATAAATAAGAAGCAGTCAGAAATATCTCCCGTAAATGTAAACAAACTTGTTTGTCTTAGCAATTGGCTGAACAAGAAGTAGGACTGAGTGGACTTGTAAGCTCTAAAGTTTTACTTTGTTTTGTTTTTGAGTGCAGTTGTGTAACAAAAAAACACTCCTACATTTGTAAGTTACACTTTCATGATAAAGAGATGGCACTACAGTACTTGTATGAGGTGAACTGAAAAATACTATTTCTTTTATCATTTTTACAGTGCAAATATGTGTAATAAAAAATAATAATATAAAGTGAGCACTGTACACTTTGTATTCTGTGTTGTAATAGAAATCAATATATTTGAAAATGTAGAAAAACATCCCAAAATATTTAATAAATTTCAATTGGGGTTCTATTGTTTAACAGTGCGATTAATTGCAATTAATTTTTTTAATCACTGTTAATTTTTTGAGTTAATCACGTGAGTTAACTGCGATTAATCGACAGCCCTAGTAACAATTCATTTTTTCTGATCTTCATTTTCATACAAGAGAAGCCCATAATCACCTTCTTTTCTCCACATCTAGTTCCATCTGCGGCAGCATCCAGTTTTGAGCGGCAGGAACCTTTCACTGAGCACCAGAGTGTCTGGCAAATATTCTGTAAGAAAGAGAACAAACTGCAGCTGCCTTCAGAAGAGTTGAACTCCCAGGCCACGATTTTCACAAGTCATTAACAATTTTTGGGTATCTCAATTTGAGATACCTTTTAGGGGCTTGACTTTCAGAGGTCAGGATGCTTAGACCTTTTTGAAAGCTAGGCCCCTTTAAAGTTATCTCAAAATCAGAAACTCCAAATCTCTAGTCACTGTTTACAATTTTAGCCACAGAACAACTTTAAATTTACTCCCCATTAGTGTGTTGTCATAGATCTGTGCACAAATACAAAACTGTGAATATATTGTATCCAGCTGACTGAATTCAAGTTCTCTTGAGAGTTTAAAAGTTCTCCCTATTGTCTGAACTGACATACCTCCCAAGCACCCACTGTTCATTGGAAAAATTTCTTTACAAAGCTTGGGGCATATTGCCCATGCAGAAGCAGCCTCAAGAGGGGAAAACGTACCATGGCCACCTGACTGTGTTTTCTCTTCATTAATCATGCTGTTGGAAGTATGTTTGACTTCTCCTTACAAGTGTCTCACCTTATTGACAGAATATTATTGCTGCAGTACCTACAGGCCAAATCCCCAAGTCTTCACTCAGTCTTAATCAGACAAGCACCTATCCATTTCAGTGGGCATTCACCTATAAAAAGACTGTTTACAAAATAAATTAGAACCTCAGGATTGGCTGGTAATTCTGCTTTTGGAATTAGGTTTCTCTGCACTATACATTTTTCATTGCTGCCTAATGCCTGTAATTTAGATTTAATCCTATGTACCTCAATTTTCATCCCTTTTTTGTTTTGTTATATTGTAGGTTTTTTCTTCCTATTGTACATTGAGCAATTTACAGTGTGTGTGTGTGTGTGTGTGTGTGTGTGTGTATTAGTTACAATGTATAAATAACTTTATACACACACACATATATGTTACTATTTAAAATTAAAAATGGGCTTTAAGGGGCAAAATCTGGATGTAGTTCAGGAGTTTAAACCCTCCAAGCATACAAATTTCAAGTAAATCCAGATCTAGCGTTTTGGTTCAGCCTTTCATAGACATGGGGTCAGATTATCAAAACAGTTCAGCATCAACTATTGGGGACCAATTTTCAAGAAAGCTCAGTTCCTATTTTGGCACTTAAATAATGGCTAGATTTTCCAAAGGACTCAGCACTTATCAGTTATCATTGTGACAACAACGTGACAAGTACTTTTGAAAATCTGACCCATAGGGTCTACCAGCCACATTCAAATATGAATTTGGATTCCAAAGTTTGGATCTTGAGTTTGGCCTATCTCTGTTTAAATCATTCACAAAGTGTTTGTTTCAAGTGAGTTGCTTGTTACTTATGTGTATTGTTTGTGGGCTCCTATTATGATCACATATTTAGAACACTGGGAAAGAAAGATGATGACAGAGAACTACTCAAAGTATTCTAAAAACTTCACTCAAAGCATGGTACTCTGAGGCTATATTATTATTGCTCATTTAATTGATTTTAGGTGAAGCAAACATGTCAGTGGCTCCCTTGAAGTTCCCTATTTATTATTCAATACTAGCATTGTTTAGAGCAGGGGTTCCCAACTGTGGGCCATGGCCCAAAGGTGGGCCGCGACAGTCCTGGGTGGTCTGCCAGCGCAACTGCATTTGCCAGTCAAGCTCTTAGTAAATCTTTAACTCCACGTGACTCATGTAATCGAAGTCAAAGCTATATAAATGTAGTGTTTTGAGCTGTTTATGTTGGACAGAGTATAGAAAAAACTTTATTTTTTAAGAAACAAGCTGCAATATGTCAAGTTTAATTCTTACGAGTAAAGTGGTGCATTTCACTGCAAGGTAACCTAGCAAAATACGCACAGTTCACCATTTATAACTGTAAAAAATGGCAAGCAGTATTTCAATCTGACATGGATCGATTTATTTTTCAGAAACGAGAAGGGTGCACTGGTGAAGAAGATAATGAAAGTCCCAGACCAGCTACAGAAACACGAAATGAGCCAGTCAAAAAAATAAAGAAAGTGGTAAGAAAATATGATAAAACATACTTGAAGTTTGGATTCTCCTTTATTGGATCATCTGAGTACCCGTTGCCTCAGTGTAGTATAAAATAACTGTTATTTTATATTTTTATTTACAATATTCAATTCTTTTCTAATTAATACAGATTAGGGTTGGGTCTTTACTTACACAGCTCAGAAATGCAGATTTTACACTAAAAAAATTGAAAATACAATATAGTGTTCAAAGCTGGACATCTATTGTGTTTTAAAGTCAACAAATAATAACACAATGTGTTTAACAATTTTGTTAAAATTGTTGCATTGCTTATTGTTCAGTTTTATACATTTATACATTGCGTTTTCTATGTCTGAATGCCACATTTTACTCTCAACATTTTTTTAAAGTGCAGCTTTACTAAAACTGTTTGGTTTCAAAGATCTTGAAGCATATCTTTGAGTGCATATTGCTAGGAATTTCTATCATTACACATGGTTACATTAAAATGAAAAGGAAACCAACACTGTTTATTTACTGTGTTATAGATTATGTGTATGTAATAATTAAAATTAATAATTTTCCTAAATAAGTGTTAATAGTGGGCTATACTGCCAATTGCAGATGCACAGGTGGGCCTCAGGGAAAAAAAGTTTGGGAATCCCTATTTAGGGGGCAGTTGGGGACACTACATTTTCTGAATGTAGTCGCAGAGTTAAAATCTGTTCTGGCTGAGTGGTTTTCTACCACTGTGTATGAAAAGTTTTGTTCTTTATCTATTATATATGGAGTATGTTTTGTTCTTTTTCAACTATGTGACGGGTACTCCGCCACTATATTTCATGTACTCAAGAAGAAATACACAGTTGATAAATGTACTTTTAGCTTTCATCCACTAGAATAGCCTGTTCGATTACTAGACTAGGGCTTTAAGATGAGCACATCCTGCTGCTGGTAGTTACATTTTCACGCTAGGCAAAAATCCATAGATGTTATAACCAAATATTATCTTCCATTGAAAAAATGAAGGATTTAGGCAGGAAACTCATTAGCTTTAATAGAAGTTATCCACATAAATCTCCATGCATATGAATTCCCCCCCATCATTAATAATGCTAGGTTAAAAAAAAGATACTACACACACCAAAGAAGTAGCATTGTTCAGTGGGCAAATGTGGGAGTGACAGTCAGAAACTCATGGCTCTGAAATTGATACAGTGCATGACAAGTCATTTATTTATTATCAGCAGTGTGCGAGGCACTTTACACACATGTATGAAATCAGGGTCTCTGCCTTGCAGAGCTTCCAATCTAAATGACCTCTAACCTCAGAGGCTAAACACCAAATTCCAATCTCATTAAAATGGGAGTTTTGGAGATAAAGATTCAGCGACAAGACATTCATAACCACAGTTTCAAAGGTGCAGATCACCTGCAGCTCTCATTGCATTAAAGGGAGCTATGGGTGCTCTACTTCTTGGAAAAATCTGCCCATTAATTTGTTTCAATTTCTTCCTCAGCATAATAGGGATACTATTTACCTACTTCACAGGCTGCCGAGTATAAACCTTGCTCAAAGTGATCATTTCAACATAGAAAACCCTTGGCCAAATTCAGATAAATACAGCTGAGTGTAAGCAGACACATCTCTAATGGGAATTCACTAGACCTGTAAACAGTGAGGTAAGTTACACATTGAGTGCAAGTTAGTCAGAAAGCGAGAGTTAAGTCAGGAGCAGCAAAAGCTCCCTAAAAGTGGGGGGAAGCCACAGATGCATGAATCATGCCCCCCCCGCACTACACCTTTTCCCCTGAGGCCCTGCCCTTATGTTGCCCCTCCTCCCCGAGCCTCGCCCTCACCCCTTCCCCTGAGGTTCTGTTCACCCTCTGCCTCTTTCCCCCAGCCCCAGCCCCCCGCTCACTCTTCTCCACAACCTCTCCCCATCACTCGCTCTTATGGCTGGTAAAAAGTGATCTTTGGATGTCCTTGTTAATTTCATTTGATGCAAGCCTATATGAAAGGATAGTTTACTGGCAAATTGGGACAGATTGAAGAGTCAAGGGTGTGTAAAATTAACTTAGGCTACATCTGGCATAGCCCTCCCACTTTTAAAAGTGATGGGGCCATGGCCCCCAGCCCCACCCCCATTCCGGCACCCTTGCGTTAAGTAGAAAGGGCAAGGCAGTGTAAATCTCAGCCAGCCCTCTCATAGAATATACCTGGGGTACTTCTACACCGCATGCTTCTTTCAGTGGCATATGAGTACAGTAGAGTACACACACAAATAGCGCCCCCTAGCATGGCTATAGCTAGAAGAGTAGACTGAGGCATGGCTGAGGTGAGTAGAGTAAAGACATGCCTGAAGGGTGTGGATATGTACCTGAGTATCTACCCTACACAGCTCCCTTCCAGCCCAAGCTGTGCCTCCTAGCTACACAGTTGTTTTTAGCAGTGTAGTGTCCCACTGCCTCCCTGCTGCTGGAGCCCTTCCCTGACGCAGGGAAAGGCTCTGGCAGTGGAGAAAGGCTCTGGCAGCGGGGAGTTGCTGAAGCCTTTCCCCAGAGCTCCCCCAATGCCAGAGCCTTTCACCGACAAAAGGGTTACCCACCACAGTGTGGCTGCTGCTGCCCTTTCATTGTGGCATGTAGCTACACATCTGTTGATCACTTGACGATTACCTGTTCTGTTCATTCCCTCTGAGGCACCTGGCATCGGCCACTGTCAGAAGACAGAATACTGGGCTAGATGGACCTTTGGTCTGACCCAGTCTCACCGTTCTTATGTTCTTATACCCTGCACATCGCTGACAGTGCTGTGTGGTGTAGACGTAGCCTAAGTTAATTTTACACACCCTTGACTCTTCTGTCTGTGCCAATATGCCGGTAAACTATGCTTTCATATAGGCTTGCATCAAATAAAATGAATAAGGACATCCACAGACCATTTCAAAATAATCAGTGTAAAATACCTCACTTTTTGTTGATTTCATTGTAGGATTAAACAGAATACACAATTCATTGCTTGTGCATTATTACTTGCAAAATATAGGCCTTGCAGTAAAAATGCTACAAATTAATTTGCTGACATATATATAGTGATAAATTAACTAGTCAGGAGATGCCAAATGCAAAGGCCTAGTAGCTTCACATTCAAGCAGAAGCAGAATTAACCAATAATACAAAATGATACTTTAATTTCCTAGAGTAAGAAAAGATAAATTACAGCTGCAAAGAACAACTGTGAAACATGTAATGAATGCATTATATCTATCCATACTGTTCATTCTGATTGAGAAGATTAATCAGAAATGTACAATACCACCAATAATAATGAGTACATGAGGATATACATAATGATCATAATGAAAAACAAATCTGGATGATCCTGGCAAGCCACTGTTTCTAGGTCATTAGGGACTGATGATGGACTCCTTACTTGGTAAATCACCTATTGCCTTCAATTGTTCACACAAGTGCCTCCCTGCATGTGCAAATGAAGGCTTTTGTAAGCATACTTATTGTACCCCCACCCTGAACAATCTGGCCCATAACAAAAGTGGGCAAACATATGACATACAGGGCCAAATACTACTCTGAGATTTGTTCAGGTGACTCTCACAGAAGTTGAGCAAGTGTATCCAACTGAAGAATTTGGCCAAATGACAGCTAATGGGACAGAGGCGTCAAAATGCTTAACTTACTTTTGAAAATAACTTCTAAGTCAAAGACACTTTATAATTTTACCCAAGATTTATAATGTACGTTTAAAAATGAAACCACTTCACCACTGAAATGCAGTTAGCTGTGCATGAAAGAGAGTAACCATTCTATAATATACAAGACCACTACAAAACAATTTAGGATAGCCATATTCATTTGAAACTGGAGAAGAATTTGATGTAGGCAGAATATAATTTCCCCAAACTGGAATTTAGTCAGGTCACAATAAGAACTAAAAGCTTAAATTCTTGTTAGTAAAATAGATTAAAACAAATAGCACTTACATCCACCTCTTCACAGAAAGTAGCAGTGGGGCCGTACTGCAACTGGCATTGGTGATGTACATCATAGATAACTCCTGGGGCAATGAGTGGTGACTTTAAATCTTTCTTTTTTGGGATATCATCTAGACAGAATCCCCATCCTCGGCTAAAGGTGAAAATTGGAAATTTAAAAACCACACAAATGTGCTTTTAATTTTAATTTTTTTTCATAATTCATCTTTAAATTTCTAATCATTAATGGCACTTTCCCATGTGGTCTTTAGGAAACAACACTTCCAGATTCTAAGTCGGGCACGGGGAATTTAGCAAATAACTTCTTATTTCCAATAATGTTTTAGGAACCTCAGATAAGAGCAAAGTACTTCAAAAAACCTGGGAGTACCTGACATTCAGGAGCAGCCTGGGTATTAATATCTGGTATCTTTACCCCCCCCCCCCATGGCATATAGAAGGGGCCCTGAAGTCTGCAAAAGCAACAGAACTTGTGTGGTTCTCCTTTGTGGCGTATCATGATTCCTGTGACCTCAGCAGCTCTTTCCTTCTCCTGAATTATAAAGAAGGGCTCTGCAGCAGCTCTCCCCATTTCACCTTGCAGTGGAATTTAATGGCGGCAGAATGTAGTTTGTTAAATTGGAAATAGATTCAGTCATTGGAATGACTTCAGTGAAAGCTGCCGCCACTCTCAACAGTGTTGAAAGTCAGATTAGAGGCATCTGAAGTTGGGCACCCAAAATTTGAGGCTCCTCTAATAAGAGGTCACTTTTGAAAAATGTGAGCACAAGTGATTTGTCCAAGGTGTCATAGGAAATCTGTGTCAGGCCCTCATATACCTTAGCCAAAAGGCCATCTTTTCTCCCAGTAACCATGTGATAGCTGTAGGTTACACCAAGTTTTCAACTCAGATTGTTGAAATCTAAGTCCAATTTGAACATTGCATAATGTAACAATTCTTCCACTATCCACTGTATCGTACTTGGTCAGATTTGGGTGTGCCATGACATGGGAACCAACAACATACCTCAAGGATCCTCAAAGGAAAAAATAATTAAGAATTCTCCTCAACTCTGTGTCACCTCACATAGCATTCCATTATTCCAAGTGGACATAGTATTCTAATCACTCACTCTAGGAAACGTGTGATGTATTCCTTGCTGCACGGGGACCAGGTGAGTGGAGAAGGATCATACTGTAGCTGCCGCGACATAATGTATGGATGTCTTCCAATAGGTTCACAGTCATTCTGTTTTCCATCATGCTGGATACCAAAACTAAAAGAAGTATTACCGAGCACAGGAAATAGTCATTATAGCTGATAGTTACACAGCAACTTTCTTCCAAAGATCCCAAAGTAATCAGGAAAACATATAGGTATCACTTCATACATGAGCTAAAAGTACAACAGAAGTCAAAACTCTTGTTGACTTCGGTGGGCATTAGATCAGGCACATAATGCACATAAGTGCCCCCAGGCAGAAAGCAAAGAGTAAACTTCCCTAGTTGAAACTCGGGGAGAATTTTAGGGAGTCAAAACATAATTATCCAATCTGGCTTTTGCCAGGCCCCATAGTTTACACCCAGTGCTTAATTTTTAATGAAAGAGGTGTCAAGAATCAAGCAATTAGGTGCTGGGAGTCAAGCAATATTTTTACTTTTATAACTGACGCGGCAAGCCCAGAGGTGCCGGGGTTATGAACTGCCAAGCCTAGAGATGTCGAGGCTCAGCCCTGGCAAAAACTAAGCACTGTTTACACCCCGACTCTTGCAAAAGATTCCAGGGCAATTTTAATAATCATAGGTACTCATGCCTCATCCACACGGCAGTGCCCTTTAGTACCCTGCAGTGAAGTTAATTTGGTAATGATTCAGAGGGAAGGGTGCCACCTGGAGAATGCTCATACCACTTTCTGCAGCACCTTGTTTTTCAGGTCAAAACCCAGTTTAGACTATGAAATTGGTTGAGATCACAGTACTGAGCAGCGTGGCTACAAGTTTGGGGTTTGCAGTGAAGGACTTTCAAAGACAGGACTGCAAGTGCTGGAAGTCTGGGACAATACTGAAAATAAATCTCACAAAAATTGCAGGCCAAATTTTGCTCTTGATTAGTGTGCTGTAAATCAAAATAACTCCATTCACTTCAGTATAATTATATCTGACTCAGATCAGAATTTCTTCCTTCCTTTCTTTCTAAAATAATTTCAAGAATGTCACTTTTTATTGATTTAGACAGAGGCATTGCTTCCCACATTGTCATATATTCATGAATGGATTGGTGAATTAGCCTCTAATCTCCTCCCCATCTCTCTCCCCAGTTAATAATACTGTGCATTGTAACAGACCTTCCCCACAGCAGGTCCTCCCCCAGCTGTTCATAACTCAGTCTTGTCTAACCTCTGCAAAGCTTTTGTCAATCCTTGTAAAAGATTTACTACTCAATAACTTTTAACAATAATAACCAAACATCCCACTGAAAGACCAACATGAAAAAATTGTCACTGTAGCTCAGTACAGCACCACACACGGTGACTGTCCAAGGAATCAAAAAAAACCCAATTACTTTAGACACGTTTATTTTTTGAAAACATCACTGTTAAATCATCCCAGTATTTCAAAAGCTTGGGTGGCTCTTTCCCTCTTCCACAACTTTGTTTTTTTCTTACTTATTTTTAGATTTATATAAGGTGCTCCTCCTCACCCCATCTCTGAGGGTGTATGCAAAAATGAATGTCGAAATCACCTAGCCAAAGCTGAAAATCTCTGCCTAAAATAACATGCATTGGGTACCAGAAATGACTATGACTGTCAGAAAGAGAGCTAGAGCTGGTCAGGAGGTTTCCATCTTGAATGATTTTTCGACAGAAAATGCAGTTTCTGCAAAACTGAAATTTTCCACATGATAATTTTGATTTGACAATTTTGTTTCAATATTCCATTGTTATAACCAAAAAGGAAAAAAAAGTATCAAAGCGCTATGGCCTGTGCTATACCAAATGATCACAATGGTCCCTTTTGGCCTTGGAATCTATGAGGGAAATACAATTTTAAGATAAACATATAAAACACTGAATTAGACCTAGCTAGACTCTGCATTTTACATCCAACTATACCTGTGTCCAAGCTCATGTGCAATAGTGAATGCCAAAGGCAGCCCAGAATCTTCATTAATATTACAGCTCCGGTGAGGTTGGCACATACCAGATAGATGAGACAAACCTAAGGTTTCACAAGGACGATTCATGCCAGCACAGATGTCCTTTCTGTAAACACAGAGAAGACTTGTAGGTAAGAGTTTGAAACTGCGTGTAATGCTGCTCACAATGGACAGTAAACCTCCATATCATCATATATTTGTTGTCCATTTGTATTTTAAGCAAAAGACAGTATGTCTAACATTTATACCACTATGTAGGACTTATTATTTATTAGTAAATATTTATATTGTGGTCATGCCCAAATATCCCAGTCAGGATTGAGGCCCACTTGTGGCAGGCACTGTACCAATAAAGAAAAGAGACATCCCTGCGCTGAAGGCCTCACAATCTCAGGACACAGACAAAAGGCAAGGGATGGGGATACAACAGACATGCAAATGAATATGGTAAAAAATCGGCATTGCTTAATTAGTTACCTGGATTGCGGTTGTTTGGTTGCATTTTAATTGGGGATACCACTAGGGGAGGAAGAGAGTAGGAAAAGGAAAGAAGGGGAAGAAAAATAGCTGCAGTTTGTCATATGTGTAGCTATGCTCATCAGGCTGGGATTTGTAGGGCTCATTGCAGAGTCGATTCTTAAGGAGGGATCTGAAGGAGAATAAAGTAGTGGTTGTTCAGATTTTATCAGAGAGTTTTTCCAAGGCAGGCAGCATCAGCCACAGCACGTTGGTGTTTGAGAGGCTGACTGGTAGTAGCCAAGGCAGGAAATGCTGGCAGAGTGAAAGTGAGGGTTGACGTCATTTTAAGTTGCTAGATCAGCTTGGCAGCAGGAAGCTAAATTATAAAGGGACTTGAAAGTAAAGACTTGATTGACTGGAAATTACACCATTTTTTCCAGGCAAGCGGTGTGCAAATCCTTGCTCTTGGCTCCAAAAATTCAGCTATTGTGGAGCAGAGTTTTCCATTTGATGCCGAGGAAAAGACAGAATGTGCACATCTGAGATTCAGAACAGTGAAGGTAAATCTTCCTTCCCTGCTCATTTTCCACATCCTTGAGATCTTCTGCACCAATCGGTTTGGATAGAGTTCCTCCCGACTAACAGATGAAGACTGCATAACTAAGTCCTTTGATGATATTATCTCCCTCCCTTTATGGGTATGTCTACACTGGAGCTGGAAGGTGCAAATGATAGGAGAGGGTAGCCACTCTGAGTACAATTCCATCTGAGATTGTAGGTATGTACTTGACCAGCTAGCCCCTCCCACCGCTCACACCAACACGGCTAAACTTCTGTTTTTAGCACACACAGCCTGATTAAGCTAGCATGAGTATATCTACTCCAACTGGAAATTACACCTTCCAGCTCCAGTTTAGGCACATCCTAATTGGAAGTGAGCATGGGGTGACCATTATGAAGGGAGTATTATCCCAGTCTCCTCTTAGACAAGGACAATACCTTATTTTTTGCAATACGTGGTTAAAAATCCCTACACCTTTTGGAAATGCAGGAGAGCATGACAACTGAATAATAAAGGTGCTGGGAATGCTCTACGGAATACTGTCTCTTGTAGCATCCAGGATCCACTTATCTGTTTACTCTAGGCCCATGCAATGAAGAAATCTTTAAATAATATAATACATGGAGATATATCTATCTCATAGAGCTGAAAGGTTATTGAGTCCAGTCCCCTGCCTTCACTAGCAGGACCAAGAACTGATTTTGCCCCAGATTCCTAAGTGGCCCCCTCCAAGATTGAATTTACAACCCTGGGTTTAGCAGGCCAATGCTCAAACCACTGAGCTATCCCTCCCCCCTGTGATGGCATTCTGTGCATGGCTCTGTGGAGCTTCATGGTGGATTATTTGAAGTTTGAGTGGTTCATCCCTGGTAAAGCATCACAGGAAGAGTCATCTTCTAACACTGAACAGGGATTTTTATTAGAATAAGGTGAAGAGTGTGATCCCTAAATCACTCCACTGTAGGCTTTCTGCTTAGAATTTTCCCCAGGTCTCTTATTGCCTGGATTCCTGTTATAGCTTTTGGAAAAAAGTGTTCACAAAAACTAATTAATCTGCACAAGACAATTTCACCTGGAGCACAGCACAGGGCCCACAGGTGGTCGGCAATTGACGTGGTGTTACAGAGGCAGCAGCAAGCCACAGCAGGTGCCTGAACACCTTGTAGGCGTCTAAGATCTGCTCCATTTTTTCCTTTGTTCAGGCCCTGTTCTCAGCCAGCAGGGGAGCACTAATGCTCCCTGGCTAGAGATAAACAACTGAGCTCGGTAAACCAGTAAACTCCTTAGCCAAAAGACTTAGTTATTCTATCTTCATCTATCTGGACTAGTACAAGAGATCAGAAAGGTTACTCCCCCTGTGCAGTAACTGTAGTTCCTTGAGCTATGGGTGCTGTACTACCCACCCTCCTTCCCTTCTGCTTTGGAGTTTCCTTCTGAAGTTTGCAAGTGGGGAAGGAACTGAGGGAGGGTGGCCCATGCAGCCTGATATAGCCTCGGTGCAGGGTACGAGAGTATCAGCCACACATGCACAGGCCGAATGGACACTGCTAATGAAAATCTCTGATCGAAGGCACGCGGAGCACATGCGCACCGGACGTGGAGCACCAATAGGGATGTGACTCAAAGAAGATATTTGTTTTTACTCTGGATATGAAGAGGAACAGTACTAACCCAGAGGTATGCAGCCTACAATGGAGAGAATCAGCAAGTAATCACCTCTCAACCTGTGCAGTGTCCATGTGTGGCGTCCTCTGGGACAGGGCAGTTTTCATTCCCTAGGTTCCGTCAGAGGGGGTGGGTGTGTGTGTGTGAGAGAGAGTTAGGATATTATATAAAGCCAGTTCATTTTGGCAGATTTACCATTAACCGTTTTGGAGACATCTTCTTTTGTTCTAGTTTTTTGTATGTATTGATTCATTTCTTTCCTTATCTGTGTGTCAGTTAGGAACTGTTACTTTGGGTATGTCTACACAGCCAAAAAAAAAAAAAAAAAAAAACCAATCAAATAAAAAATCCAGTGGCAGCAAGTCTCAGAGTCCAGGTCAACTAACTCGGGCTTGTACTGCAGGGCTAAAAATAGCAGCCTAGCCGTTTGGGCTCAGGCTGAAACTTGGGGTCTGCGACCCTTCCTCCTCACCAGGGTTCACAGCCCAGGCTCCAGCTTCAGCCTGAATGTCAACACTGCTATTTTTAGCCCCGCAACATGAGTCCCACGAGCCTATATAGACATACCCTTTTTTTTTTTTGATGGACTGATTAAGCGAAGGACGATTGTTTTTGCTCCTAAGCCAAATCCTTTCGTGTTGGTTGGTGGTCAGTGCAAGCTGATTGGAGCTTTAGTTTTCCTTTTGAAAGTTTTGCATTGGTTTTATTGTGTGGTGCTTAGGGGCCAAATCAAATAAAATATATTAAGTAAATGAAGCAAGTAATGTGTTAGTAACACACACAATATATATATATATAACCTGCAAACGGCATCATAGATTGCTGATAATTATGGTAGTAGTCAAGAAACTGCAATTACCATCACTTGCATCATTGTTCTAAAAGTCACAGACAAGAGCGTACTGTAACTTTGTAACAAACAGCAATGTGCAGCATCAAAAACATTGAGTTTGTTTTTGGATGTATTGGAGAAAGTCTGGCAAAAAAAAAAAAAGTTGTTTTTCAATAGACAAGGATACTTTCTTTCGTACAACTGGGAAACTACGGCCCCAATCCTGCAAACACACCTGCACACATTTACCTTTAGACAGGCGAGCAGTCCCATTGAGTTTGCAGGATCAGGCCCTATGTGCTTTGAGAGGATGGACAGTCTTGTTTATAAGGCACTAGAACAGGACTCAAGAAACCTGGGGTCAGTTCCTTGCTCTGCCACAGACTTCCTGTGTGATCTTGGGCAAGTCCTTTACTCTCTCAGTGCTTCTGTTTCCCATCTGCGAGGGGTGAGTGGGGGAATACTTTTTTTCCCTCCTACCCTTTGTCTCCCTCGTTTCTTTAAACTGTGAGATCTTAGGGCAGGGACTGTTTTTCAATATTTGTGCAGTGTCTAGCACGATGAGGCCCAGATCTTGGGCTATAGGTGCTACTGTAATACAAATAAATCATAATGATAATATATCAAATTTACTAAAAATATTCATGGAAAGCAAATTTCAAAGCCACATGCACAAATTTATGTATCAACTGAATTTTTAAACCACATGTGAGAATTTATGCCATAAGCATTTGTGTGCTTATCCAACTGAAACAATACCACAGGCCTTATCTGACCAATTGCAACTAAGTAATACAGCTCAAATAGTGAATACCCACAGGTAGCCAATTGAGAAATATGTTTTCATCTTTATGAACTGTGAAAACAAATTGTTGAATACTTTTGAACGACAAATATATTTGAGGCAATCATGATCTTCTGATGGATATTCAGCAATACAGAGAAAGAGACTAAATCTGTCAGACACAATAACTATTCTGTGAATTATCTGCACAGCTATAATGGCCCATTGGAAATGTCTGCTTACTCCTCTTTCTATACATAGTGTCTGAGACCACCACTATGAAATATGAATGAAAAGATATTATCAAGACATTTTTGCATGTTTACAACCATTTAGCTAGAAGTCTGAATGTGAACTGTATTACTTTAACAACAAGATAATCCACTATTGTGAAGTGTAGTTATTTGTTATTGTAGGGTTTTGTAATTAGGGGGCTGCTGATCTACAGGCTGGGGGGCTTTTGGCCCTATTATTTTTTCCTTGAGAAAATAATTGATTGAAGCCATAAACAAAGAGATGGGCCCAAACTGAATACTAACCTCAGCCTTCCCAACCATTGAAGTTTGAGGATGTTTACATTTGGATCTAATTATAGACTAGATTAGACTAGAGGGATAGCTCAGTGGTTTGAGCATTGGCCTGCTAATCCCAGGGTTGTGAGTTCAATCCTTGAGGGGGCCACTTAGGGATCTGGGGCAAAAACAGTACTTAGTCCTGCTAGTGAAGGCTGGACTCAATGACCTTTCAAGGTCCCTTCCAGTTCTAGGAGATAGGATATCTCCAAAAAAAAAATTCCTGGCTATGACTCAGGGTTAATAAAACAGATACAAATAAAACATAATATAGACTTTGTAAACAGATGTAAGCAACCCTCTACAAGGTACAGTAGGTCAGTTTTGGCACCTTCCAGCCTTAACAGTGTGCTTTCATATAACAGCTCAAAATTCAACCTGTACTAGCATCTGATATACTAATCAAAGAAAGTTATTTTTGTATTAAAACTGTCCTTCAGAAATGACATGTATTCATCAGGAACAACAGTATATGGGGAAGTGTCTGTGTTGGTGGGGGGGGAGGGTGACTAAAGGAGCCTATTAGCCTATAAACGTGTTCTCAGTGAAAGAAATATGAATAAAATAATATTTGGCAGCTCCTCTCCAGGGTTGTGACCATACCTAGTTAAAAGTACAGCTACATCGTGATGTATTGGGTTGACATCATTTTTGGGATTGATGCTTTTCTGCCATTTGCAGAAGCTGGCTAATGTCTTGTCTGCATGATGAACTATTTTCAAGCCTCGCTAAAGAAAAAAAGAAGAAAATATTATTATAAAGACTGCATTATATTGCCAGAGCACAGCAGCAACATTAATTATCAGGCTCACTAAAGTCATTGACTGGTTATGCTTTTGCTCAAAGCTAGAAACATCATTAGGAGCAATGACAGTTATTTGTGTAATATCCCAAGTATTAAGTTAAAACTTTGTCATTTTTGCAGCTAGTGTAACTAGAGAAAAAGTATAGCAAAGGAGGAAATTAGCATTTTTGGGAAGAAGCCTTCATAAAATGAAACTAACAACTGCATTTTTCAAACAACAATATTTTATTTTCCTCTTGGAAGCTAGTATTCTTCCTGACATAAAGAAGATTAAGATTAATTTGCAAGTAACTTGGAGAAAGCTACCTTCCATCATGTTTATCACCTTTAATGCAACATGAACAATCTCATGATGAGGTAACATTTTATGCTTTCATGGGTACATTTCCTTCACTCCATTTTTTTAAAAGCTGAAAAAGATGTACAACAGTCGTCTTATGATCAGAGAGAACAAACACAAGTTGAAGCAGAAAAAACATTTTGCAGTGCAAAATAAGCGCTACCAAAAACGTATTTCCCTCTTCTGTGGTTTTGCCACTTACTCTGCCTCACTCCTAGTATATTATTATTTAGGGTAAAGTTTTCCAAAGCACTGAAGTGCCATAAGCAGCTACGTCCCTTTTTCAAAGGTGCATTAGGTACTTAGGGGCCCAAGTCTCATTGAAAGTCAATGAGTACTTAAGCTCCTAAGTGTTTAAATCAGTTTTGAAAATGGGCTTTAGATGCTTTTGAAAATTTTACCCTTGATAACCTTTACCCATAGCTGGATAAATTAGGCTCCTATTTTACAAATTATTTTCACCTGTGCAGGCACTAGCTCTCATGTGGAGACCAATTGACTTCAACAGCCCAGGCGACAACCTGGTTTAGGATTAGGACCTTTGATCATAAATCCCTTTGGACAGAGACCTTATTTTAAGGCTATATCCACAGAAGGCCTTGCACAATTATGGTGCTATGAAAATAACCATTAAGTTATAATAATCAGCATTCATTTAGGGGGCGGTTACAGCATTTATGAGACATGGAACATGCAATCACTTACGTGTGGTAGTTCACAACAATGAACATTTTATCAGTCACTGTTTCTCTGAGTTTTGAAAAGGAGCTTATGGGGAAAATAACCTGTCTTGCAGGCGTACAATAGTAGATCTGCTTCTTCAGAGAGCTCCACAGGCAGCTGCATTGTGCTTTATGAATATGCTATGTGATTAGACTGTGGATGGTTCATTTGAGCATCCTGTACGTTTGAATCTCTGCTCCGCAGCAAGCCTCCTCAGTCTTTGAAAGTCCTCTTCTGGTGCCGAAGAGCTTTCCCCTCACACACAATTATCCTAATATTTGAACATTTTAACTGAATTTCCTTTTGGGAGTTTATGCACAAACACCTGCAGTTATGAGCTAAACAATGTGCCATTTAGAGCAGCAGTTAGCTTTGAAACAGCTGTGCCAGAGTCAATAGATTAACAGAGGAATGAACAAAACATTTTAAACAAGCAACCCTTTTCCCACACACAGTGGATGCATTCATTACTCTCTTTAGTGTTAATCTAAATACCCTACCAAAATCTCTCTTCAGTGCACTGCGTGCCCAACTTTCTTCATTGCAAACTTGGGGGAAACAAAATCTCACCTCTTCCTCTTCAAGAAGAATAAGGCGGACGAGCACGATGTGGATTGCATTGCCAATGCTTGGATCATGGAACAATCCTGTGACCTGTGTCAGAGCCAGGAGGTATGAAATTAATTGATTCCTCTACAGCAAGACAGAACTTTAGAGAGGAAATATGCAGGTTATTTCAAGCAGACTGCCCTCTTTGTTTTTTTTCCCCTCCTACATGTTATTGACAGAAGGTTCACTTCACATTCTGAAATGTAATAACCGTGATGAACTACTGCAGAGGGCTGCCCAGTCAAATGAATAAAAATTCAGCAATTAACAGACGTTATTAAAATGTTATGCAGCAAAATTTACAATCCATTAAAAAATTATTTTAAGTTCATTTTTCTCATTTAGGGTCCAATCCACTATTGTGCTCCCTGTGTAGTCGTTTACATCAGTGCAAGATAGGTGTAAAACACGGCCAGTGCACAATGGTAGCATTTTACATCCACTTTGTACTGGTGTGAATGACTACCAAAGGTTCAGGGCGACAGCAAATGAGGCATTTATTGTTGAGTTCTGTAGAAAGGATTCGGCTGGCCAAAGGAAAAAGAGGAAGTCAATACTAGGCAAATAGAAGGGAGTTGAAAAATATATACAGTGGTATCATCAGCATAAAAGTGGAAGCTAAGGGTTTGTCTTCACTACTGGCTAAATCAGCGCTGCTGCGATCGATGCAGTGGGGATTGATTTAGTGGGCCTAGTGAAGACAGGATAAATCGAAGGCAGAGTACTCTCCTATCCACTTCAGTACTCCACCTTCTCAAGAGGCGGGAGAGTGGTGTAGACACTGCTGTAAATCGATCTAAGTTGCTTTGACTTAATTTACATAACTTACGTAACTGAACTAGCATAACTTAGATCGCCTTACCTCATTAGTGTAGAGCAGACCTTAGACTAAAGGTAAAATGACAGATGGAGCAGTTAGACTAAACAATAACAAAGGGCCCAGCATTGAACTCCGAGTCCTCATGCCCCAAATGGTGGTGTCAGTGTGTGTGCGATTAGACAGGCTGCTTCTCAAGAGCATTACTAGTAAAAGGAAGAGATGGGGGGAGGGGGGCGTGCAGCAGGAACAAAGCTGACACTTAAGCCTGGTCTATACCTAAAATTTAGGTTGACCTTGCTATGTCACTCAGGGGTCCTGAGCACCATAGTTAGATTGACCTAAGCCCCAGCATAGATGTGGCTAAATCAAAGGAGGAATTCTTCTGTCAACCAAGCTACCGCTGGTTGGGGAGACGGATTATCTACATAGATAGGAAAACCATTCCATCAATCTAGGAGGTGTACACACTATGGCTGCAGTGCTGTAGTGGCTGTAGTATATGCCCTTAGTCACAATCTGCCAGAGGAAGTCATTTTCCCCCTCAGCTGGGAAGGGTTGCATCTGTTGTTTGAAATGAGCTTCATTGTGAGTACAAAAACTGATCAGTTACATTGTGCTCTGTAAACAGTTACTCCAAGACAAAACAGTATTGATGGCTACAATGAAAGACAATTTCAAGACTTCTGTGTGAATCCATTGCAGATGTGTCCCATTAGTGCAAATCATATAAACAAAAACCTAGGAGACATCTGAATTGCATTAGCTGAATACTGTAGGATGGAAAAAAATATATTGTGCTGGTTCTTAATTCTTCAGAAATCTCTCAACTGAAAGATAATTGTTTAAGTATTTTGCACTCATTAGCAGCTGCCAAAAAAAAGGCTGTTCCTAGTGGGGGATGGTTAGTCTAACTAAGTCTCAGACACACAAAGGAATATTGAAATATTATGTACTTATGGTTTTTTTCAGTGCATGTCAGATTTTTTCTGGGGCTATTAATACAGTTCAGTACATAAATATTCGTGAAACAAAGGATTTTACATAAGAACATAAGAATGGCCATACTGGGTCAGACCAAAGGTCCATCTAGCCAAGTATCCTGTCTTCTGACCAATGCCAGGTGCCCCAGAGGGAATGAACAAAACAGGTAATCATCAAGTGATCCATCCCCTATCGCCCACTCCCAGCTTCTGGCAAACAGAGGCTAAGGACACATGGCTAATAGCCATTGATAGACCTCTCTTTTTTTAACCCTGTTATAGTCTTGGCCTTCACAGCATCCTCTGGCAAGGAGTTCCACAGGTTGACTATGCATTGTGTGAAAAAATACTTCCTTTTGTTTGTTTTAAACCTGCTGCCTATTAATTTCATTTGGTGATCCCTAGTTATGTTATGAGAACATGTAAATAACACTCCCTTATTTACTTTCTCCACACTAGTCATGATTTTATAGACCTCTATCATATCACCCCTTAGTCATCTCTTTTCCAAGCTGAAAAGTCCCAGTCTTATTAATCTCTCCTCATATGGCAGCTGTACCATACCCCTAATCATTTTTGTTGCCCTTTTCTGAACCTTTTCAATTCCAATATATCTTTTTCAAGATGGGGTGACCACATCTGCACGCAGTATTCAAGATGTGGGCGTACCATGGCTATATATAGACACAATATGATATTTTCTGTCTTATTATCTATCCCTTTATTAATGATTCCCAACATTCTGTTCGCTTTTTTGACTGCCACTGCAATGGATGTTTTCAGAGAACTATCCACAATGACTCCAAGATCTCTTTCGTGAGTGGTAACAGCCAAATTAGACACCATCATTTTATATGTATAGTTAGGATTATGTTTTCCAATGTGCATTGCTTTGCATTTATCAACACTGAATTTCATCTGCCATTTTGTTGCCCAGTCACACAGTTTTGAGAGATCCTTTTGTAGCTCTTCGCAGTCTGCCTGGGACTTAACTATCTTGAGCAATTTTGTATCATCTGCACATTTTGCCACCTCACGGTTTACCCCTTTTCCCAGATCATTTATGAATGTATTGAATAGGACTGGGCCTAGTACAGAACCCTGGGGGACACCAGTATTTACCTCTCTCCATTCTGAAAACTGGCCATTTATTCCTACCCTTTGTTTCCTATCTTTTAACCAGTTACCAATCCATGAGAGGACCTTCCCTCTTATCCCATGACAGCTTAATTTGCTTAAGAGCCTTCGGTGAGGGACCTTGTCAAAGGCTTTCTGAAAATCTAAGTACACTATATCCACTGGATCCCTCTTGTCCACATGCTTGTTGACCCCCTCAAAGGATTCTAGTAGATTGGTGAGGCATGATTTCCCTTTACAAAAACCTTGTTGACTCTTCCCCAACAAATTATGTTCATCTATGTGTCTGACAATTTTGTTCTTTACTATACTGTAGTTTCAACCAGCTTGCCCAGTACTGAAGTCAGGCTTACAGGCCTGTAATCGCTATGATCACCTCTGAAGCCCTTTTTAAAAATTGGTGTCAGATTAGCTATCCTCCAGTCATTTGGTACAGGAGCTGATTTAAATGATAGGTTACAGACTACAGTTAGTAGTTCTGCAATTTCACATTTGAGTTCCTTCAGAACTCTTGGGTGAATACCATTTGATCCTGATGACTTATTACTGTTTAATTTATCAATTTGTTCCAAAACTTCCTCTAATGACCCCTCAATCTGGGACAGTTCCTCAGATTTGTCACCTAAAAAGAATGGCTCAGGTTTGGGAATTTCCCTCACATCCTCAGCCATGAAGACCGATGCAAAGAATTCATTTAGTTTCTCTGCAATGGCCTTTTTTGGCCTTCCTAATTATATTTTTACACTTTATTTGCCAGAGTTTATGATCCTTTCTATTTTCCTCACTAGGATTTAACTTCCACTTTTTAAAGGATGCCTTTTTGCCTCTCACTGCTTCTTTTACTTTGTTGTTTAGCCACAGTGGCACTTTTTTGGTTCTTTTACTACGTCCTACGTGCCAACTTCTGGGGTGCTCCAGCAAAAAAATTGTGGGTGCTGAGCACACACTGGCAGTCCCTCTACCAGAACCTCCCCCTTCCCGCAGCGCCGCCTGCCCGCCAGCGGGCCCCACCAATCAGCACCTCCCCCTCCCTCCCAGTGCCTAAAACCTGCCATGGATCAGCTGTTTGGCAGCGTCAGGACAGGAGGCGCTGGGGGGGAGCGAGGGCACAGCGTGCTCGGGGGAGGGGGCGGAACTGGGTGGGAAAGGGGTGGCACGGAGGTGAGAAGAAGCAGGGCGGGGGTGGGGCCTTAGGGGAAAGAGGTGGAGTGGGGGCGGGGCCAGAGCAGAGCCGGGAAGAGCACCCCACCACAGATTAGAAACTCACGCCTATGTATTATGTTTTTTAATTTGGGGGTATACATTTAAGATGAGCCTCTATTATGGTGTCTTTAAAAAGTTTCCATGCAGCTTTCAGGGATTTCACTTTTCGCACTGTTTAACTAACCTCATTTTTGTATAGTTCCCCTTTCTGAAATTAAATGCTACAGTGTTAGGCTGCTGTGGTGTTTTCCCCACCACAGGGATGTTAAATTTAATTATATTATGGTCACTATTACCAAGTGATAAGCTATATTCACCTTTTGGACCAAATACTGTGCTCTATTTAGGACTAAATCAAGAATGGCCTCTCCTCTTGTGGGTTCCAGGACTGGCTATTCCAAGAAGCAGTCATTTAAGGTGTCAAGAAACTTTATCTCTGCATCCCATCCTGAGGTGACATGTACCCAGTCAATATGGGGATAGTTGAAATCCCCCATTATTATTGAGTTTTTTACTTTAATCTCTCTAATCTCCCTGAGCATTTCACAGTCACTATCACCATCCTGGTCAGGTGGTCAGTAATATATCCCTACTGCTATATTCTTATTATTAGAGCATGGAATTACTATCCATAGAGATTCTATGGTACACTTTGGTTCATTTAAGATTTTTACTTCATTTGATTCTACGCTTTCTTTCACATATAGTGCCACTCCCCCACCAGCACAACCTGTTCTGTCCTTCCAATTTTGAAGGGGAGAAGGGGACGAAGGCGAGATTTGATCATTTCTTTAAAGTATTATTGTAACTAGAAATCAAAACCACAGCTCTATCACCCCAGCTTTGAGGGAATCCAAAATCAAACCCCAGATCCAGATTTTGCAACTGGCTGCTGTTGCTATAAT